TTGTTTCTTAATTATCCCCATCTTGATAATGTATATATGCATTAATTAGTAGGTTTTTATTATTATGTATGTTATATTGTATTTTATTACTCATGTAAGCCGCCCCGAGTAAACTTTGTCTAGAGGGGTGGGGTATAAGTTCAATAAAAGTAAAAGTAAAGTAAAAGGTGGCGTCGGTGGTCCGTACCTCCTTTTTTCATCTTCAGCGGATAGCCCAGCTGCGTCCCTATCTTGATGTTGGGGCGCTCACCGCACGGCCGTCTCCAGCCAGGGAGGGCTCGGAGGCAGGCAGCCAGGAAGGGGCGTGCCTCTGACAGCCAGCCAGCCCCAGATGCCTGGTCTCCATGGCCAGGCGAGAGCGAGGGGGAGGGAGCACGGCCGTCTCCAGCCAGGGAGGGCTCGGAGGCAGGCAGCCAGGAAGGGGCGTGCCTCTGACAGCCAGCCAGCCCCAGATGCCTGGTCTCCATGGCCAGGCGAGAGCGAGGGGGAGGGAGCACGGCCGTCTCCAGCCAGGGAGGGCTCGGAGGCAGGCAGCCAGGAAGGGGCGTGCCTCTGACAGCCAGCCAGCCCCAGATGCCTGGTCTCCATGGCCAGGCGAGAGCGAGGGGGAGGGAGCACGGCCGTCTCCAGCCAGGGAGGGCTCGGAGGCAGGCAGCCAGGAAGGGGCGTGCCTCTGACAGCCAGCCAGCCCCAGATGCCTGGTCTCCATGGCCAGGCGAGAGCGAGGGGGAGGGAGCACGGCCGTCTCCAGCCAGGGAGGGCTCGGAGGCAGGCAGCCAGGAAGGGGCGTGCCTCTGATGGCCAGCCAGCCCCGGATGACCAGTCTCCTTGGCGCAGACCGGTCTCTCCCGGGGCGCAGACAGGGCGAGGAGGGAGTCTCTGGCACGCCGCTCCCCCCGTCCAGCCGCTGCCACCCTGATCCCGATCCCGGGTGACCGTCTCCTCCTTTGCAGTGCTCTGGCTCGGCGCCCGCCCCAGGGGAGCAGGCGGGGATCAGGGCCAGGCCCTTCGTGCCTCCTTCCCTCTCTCCTTCCCTCCCTCCTCCCAAGGCACCAATCCGGAGCGCCCCCCCTCTCCCCTCCTGACCTGCGGGCCTTCATCGTGCCCCCCCTTCTCCCCTCCTGACCTGCGGGCCTTCATCGCTAAACGGAGCGATTGCTATGAGAGGCACCACTGTAGGTAGGTTGATTGATTGATTGATCGATCGATCGATCGATCCGAGGTGTGTTGCACACACGTGCGTCTTGCCTCTTCAAAGAAGTGCTGAATCAGGGATTTCAATGTGAGAGTCTGTATGTTGATCTCTTGTGTTATTTTCAATGTATTTTAAAATACTTTTACAATTCTTCCTCCTGCCACTTGTGCTCCAAGAACTCAAGGATGTGTCAAGGTTGATGTTCAGATAAAAGAGTAAAGCAAGAACAAAGAGGAGCTGGAAGTTCTTTTCCTCAACAAACCCTCACATGTATAGTAAATGAGAAACAGATATAAAATGCATATAATGAAGTTCAGAAATCATCATTCAGCATTTTTTCCTGAATCTAAAAATGTGTTCTCAATCATAACTTCAAGGTCTGTTCATTGTTAATTTAATTTTACTTCTAAAGTCATTTTCAGTCAACTAAGAAAATTGTCAAAAGTTGGAAGTTTATATTTTAAATCTTCATATATGTTTTTTTAATTATTAAATTGATAAATGGCTACTTCTAATTCAGGATGGTGCAGGTGTTCTGGCAAAATCATTTACTTTTAAAGCTTTTAAACTGTAATCTTTTCAGACAATAAAGTGTTTTTTTTTAAAAAAACTGTACTTCTTTGCCAGAATAATGGATTTTCCAAGTATTTGCAGCAGAATGACTGATATATAGATAGATACAATCGTGCCCCGCTTAATGATTACCCCGCATTACGACGAATGTGCTTCCCGACAATGTTTTTGTGATCGCAATTGCGATCGCAAAGCAGTGTTTTAAATGGTTTTTCTTGCTTTGCGAAGATTGGTTCCCTGCTTCGGGAACCGAATCTTCGCATTACGATGATCAAAACAGCTGATCGTCAGGTTTTCAAAATGGCTGCCGGGTGCAAAATGGCTCCCCGCTGTACTTAGAGATGGATTCCTTGCTATACAGGCACCGAAAATGGCCGCCGTATGGAGGATCTTTGCTGGACAATGAGTTTTTAGCCCATTGGAATGCATTAACCGGGTTTTAACGCGTTTCAATGGGTTTTTTAATTTTGTTTTACGATGTTTTCGCTCTACAGCGATTTCGCTGGAACGAATTAACGTCGTTAAGCGAGGCACCACTGTAGATCGATCAATCGATTGATTGATTGATCTACAGTGGTGCCTCGCTTAACAACGTTAGTTCGTTCCAGCGATAGATCACCAATCAATCACTGGGCTAGCTCTTACTGTAGAGATTCACATCTATCATTGTTTATTATATTTAATAACAGTTTGCTTTGCTTAATAAAGAATAAGATACAATAAAATGTTTGTAAAGCTATTGAAGAAACTAACTCTGTTAACATCCCTTTCCATTGCCACACCTTTGGATGAAAAGACCTGGTGCCTACAGAAATACTAGTATCCAGTATTTTTCTTGATATTACGTTCCACAATACTGCAACAGTAAAAAGTGCTGCATATATTTTC